CAGAGTTTGGTCTGCTTGTCTTCCTCCTCACCTAGAAGCTGTCCTGGAGTTCATGCCACTGCCTAGCAGCCCTGGGGCTCCACAACAGTGTGAGAAACAGTGAAATAACTGAAAAAGACCCTTGTAGGCCTAGAGAGGGAAAGGATGTGCCCAAAGCCACACAGTAAACACTGTGAAGCAGAGACTAGGGTCCAGGTTTCCTGGCAGCTAGTCTGTGTCTTCTCTGTCCCCCAAGACCAGCCCACCACTGCCCATTACATCACAAGTGGGATATTTGGAAAAATATGAAATTTAGAGACAGGAGACATGGGTTTGAATATTACTTCACCATTTCCTAGAGGTATCATGTTGGAGACTTTCCCAAATCTCTGTTTTCCTTCCTCTTTTCGTGCCTTCCTTCCAACAAATATTTACCAAGCACCTGCTATATGCCAGGTGCTGTGCTGAGAGGTCTGCTGGACACAACACGGATTACACAACAGTGGTCAAAGAAGATGTAGTCCCTGTCCTCAGGGGGCACACAGTCTAATGGGGGACATAATTAAGCAATTACACTGAACAACCACTTTGGAAAAGTGTAATAGAATAGTGGTATATGCCACGTGTGGGAAGAAAGCCAGTATAGGAGCATAGGGCAGGGACACCCAGCTTGACCAGTTGACCAGTTTTTTCCTGTATAAAATAGCTGAGATGAATGTCTGAGATTAACCCAGATAATGTAAAATGGTTTTCCTAGTAAAGGGCCTGACATATAGTAAGTACTTAAGAAATACGCTTTCATTCACTGTTCATTCTTCCTCACTGGCTAGAAGTCACCTAACTCTGAACTTTTTTAGCCTCATGTTTGTACCTCTGTTGGGGACACTGAGTACTTTCTGCACTGCATTGTAACTGTCTACCTCATCTCTCCTAAAGGAGCATAAGCTTCTTTTGAGGCAGGCTTTGGTATCCTCAGCATCTAGAACCATACTTTCTTCTTAACAGGTGCTCCATTAACATCTACTGAGGAAGAAGTGAAGGAAACAGAAAGGCCCATGGACTGACTGAGTGGATCACAGGAAGGGCTGCTGTGCCACAGGCCCCAAAAAGGAGAGCACTGTGTTTAAAGTACCCCTTGTGAGCCAGGTAACCCTGGAGTCCAGGCCCGGCTCCACCTCTCTGTGCCTATGTGACCCTGGGCAAACTCCTTGCATCTCTAAACCTGAGTTTCTCATCTGTAAGATGGGAATAACAATTGTACCCACCTCACAAAGTTATTGAGAGAATTAAATGAGATAATGGATGTGAAACTATAGCAGAGTGCCCTGCACATAGTAAGAGCTCAAAATTACTTTTACTCTACTGCAAGAGATGGGGGAAGAAGAAACTCCTCCTTCTCTCCTCTACCTCTTTGCTTGAGATCACACCTATCATTTCTAAGCACGGTTTCCATTTTGAAGTTCCAAATCCTTCCCTGAGATCAGACTCTACTCCTTTTCTTACTGCAAACCGGACATCACTGTTCAGACCTCCCACAGACATCTCAAGCTCCCCAAAACAGAGCTCATTTTCCCCTCACCCGAAGCAGCCCCTCCTCAGAGTTCTCTATTTCCATGAATGGGGTCAGAAGCTTCCAGGTTCAAAGCCTACTACTTGGGGTTGGGGCTGGGGATGGGGCTGGAAGCAGTCTCTGGATGGGACCAAGAGCCAATTAGTTGCCAAGTTCTGGCAACTAAAGCCCCAAACTTAGCCTACAGTATTCCCTTTTCTGCAGCTCTGTTGTCTCTCCCTTGGCCGGGGGCCCTGCTGCCCCTTACCAGGACAGCTGCAGTAAACTCTGACTGGATCCCCCCTTGCCACTCTGCCTCTCTTCTAATCCTTCTTCTCTCCCTCTTTCCTTCCTGCCCTTTCATTTTTCTTTTATTCGTTTGAAGCAAAAAGCCTTTATTATGAATTCAAAGCAAATTAAAAAGAAGTGAGCCAGGACGAGTGGCCACCTCTGTGTTCCTGCTGCTTCTCACTACCACAGCACTTACACTGAATTGCAGTCATCTATTTTATACCTCTTTAGAGTGTTAAAAAGCAAAGATGTCACTCTGAGGACTAAGGTGTGCCTGACCCAAGCCATAGTATTTTCAATCGCCTCATATGCATGCAAAAGCTGGACAATGAATAAGGAAGACAAAGAAGAACTGATGCATTTAATTATGGTGTTGGCGAAGAATACTGAATATACCATGGACTGCTAGAAGGATGAACAAATCTGTCTTGGAAGAAGTATAGCCAGAATGCTCCTTAGAAGGGAGGAGGGCAAGACTTTGTCTCACATACATTGGATATGTTATCAGGAGGGACCAGTACCTGAAGAAGGACATCATGCTTAGTAAAGCAGAGGGTCAGCGAAAAAGAGGAAGACCCTCAATGAAATGGATTGACACAGTGGCTGCAACACTGGGCTCAAACATAGCAACGATTGTGAGAGTAGCACAGGACTGGGCAGTGTTTCGTTCTGTTGTACATAGGGTCGCTATGAGCCGGAATCAACTTGACGGCACCTACTTTGCCTACTTTCCCCATTATGGAGCCCTGGTGGCACAGTGGTTAAGAGCTCAGCTGCTAACCACAATGTTAGCAGTACAAATCCACCAGCCACTCCTTAGAAACCCTTTGAGGCAGTTCTACTCTGTCCTATAGGGTTGCTATGAGTTGGAATCGACTCAATGACAATGGGCTTGGTTTTTAGTTTTTTTCCCCATCATATTTGTATGAACTTCTTGAGGGCCAGGGTTGTGCTTTCCATATTCCTGTGTCCCCAGAGTCAAGCCCAGAGCCTGGTACTTAGTTGATTCTTAACATTTGTCGAATTAAACAGCTTTTACTATTAGTCTGTTACAATGATTTGTGTATATAATTCTCTTTAATAATAGCTAGATTGTGATCTCTTTGATGGAAGATACCATGTATACTGAGTTTAAATTAGCCACAGCCCCCTCATCCATTTCCATGTTTCATTTGTTTTCATAGCATTTACCACTATCTGAAATTATATTCTCATTTATTTGTTTATTGTTTATTGGCAATACATCTCAACTAGACTATACGCTCCATGAGAACAAGGATCTTAACTTTTTTTTTTTTTTTTAAAGGCAAATGTTTGTTTTGTTTCTTAACCAACCAGTATTTGAGAATGAAGGTTGGGAACAATATTTACTCCAATACCCAATACGTGGCATTGTTAACAGGAAAAACTTTCACAAAATCAAAATATAAAAGTTATTAGAAAAACATACTCTATTGAGATTGTTCCATGCCTTCATAAATAAACTATCTACTTAAAAAAGAGTTTCAGTCACTAAAGCACTTTTGAAATCTGATTTTCACTCAATGTAATTAAATTAGAAGTACACCTATAGATTTAATTGACATAAGGCTAGACCTATTTTTAACAATTTAGGTGGTTCTAGCCTTACTTTAATTAAATCTATAAGTGTACTTCTAATTTAATAGATAAAATTCAGTGAAAATAAATTTAATAAACATAATACAATAAAAACTCAAATCTTTGCTTCTATGTAAACCCCTGCTCAAGTCCATAAGGAATTGTGGTTCTCTTTCTTCATTTTGAGTACACAGAAAGACAAAGTGTACATTTCTTCTGCAACTGGCTTGATTTTTAAAAGTAGCAGGGTGCATAAAGAACTGCTATATCAATGCTTGGTGCTATCATCCTACAATTTGTTATTAGGTGCCGTCGAGTCAGTTGACTCATAGCGACCCTATGTACAACAGAACGAGACACTGCCTGGTTCTGTGACATCCTCACGATCATTGTTGTGCTTGAGCCCACTGTTGCAGCCACTGTGTCAATCTATCTCGTTGAGGGACTTCCTCTTTTTCGTTCACCTTCTACTTCAGCAAAAATGATGTGCTTCTCTACGGACTGGCGTCTTTAACTATTTTTTATATTCTTATTCCTACATCCTAAAACTGGCAGATAGCAAGCACACATTCATATTGGATGAATGAATCTCAGCTCCACACTTTTTTTTTCTTTTTCTTGTCATCCTTGCGCAGGGGCCATGCTAATCTTCTCTGTATCGTTCCAATTTAGTACATGTGCTGCTGAAGCGAGCACTCTGCACTTTATTAGACATGTGTCTTTGAGCAAGTTACTTCACTTCTCTGGGCCTCAGTTTCCTCAACTGTAAAATGGGAATAAATAATCCTACCTGAAAGCATTGTCCTGAAGGTTAAAGGGACAAAGTTTGTAAAAGTGCCCAATACAAGGTTCTTCGCAGAGGCAAAAAAAGAGCCGTCTTTTCCCAGTCACAGATGTTTGAGACATATTTAGTGAATCAAATAAGGCCCTTACCTCCCGTTTACATATTCCCCGATGTATCTGCTCCCGGTGTACTGCATGGCACCTGCTTCTAGCTTTCAGTTCTCGGGAACCAGACTCTCAGTGTACTCGGCTTCACTATGACAACCAGAAGGGATGGGCGGAGCCTACTGGAAGCTCCGCCTCCTGGAGCACACCCAACTTCCTGGTATTGCGCAAACTGTCACTCGCGGTTGGGCAGAGCATTGCGCCTGCGTGCTGCCGGCTGCGCATGCGCAACTACCGTGTGGCCCTCCTCGGCGCTCGTAAGACGAGTTCAAGGAGACTGGGGAGAGGCGGCTGAGGGTATCTCCTCAGGGTCGGGGCTACAGCCATCATGCCGGGGATAGTGGAGCTGCCCACTCTGGAGGAGCTGAAAGTGCAGGAGGTGAGGCTCGTCCGGAGGACAGGCAAGCGGGGCATAGGGCTGCAGCCTCCCGTGCCTGGGACCAGCTCTGCTTTGCCTTAGCAGACCCTACGCTCCGGATGCCCCAACCCCTGGACCCCAACACACATACAGGTCGACCCCCAGAAGTCCCCTTCACAGCTCCGGAGACCCTCTCCCCCCACTCCCCAGCCCCATCCCGCAGTGGCTCTTGAACCCTACGCCCACTCTAGAACCCTACGACGTGCGTCTTTCCGTGAATAATAGTGGTGCTTTTTTTTTTTTTTTTTAAGCACCAGTCAGGGCCACTTTATGTCGCGTAATACCCAGACCTCCCGGCGAAGTGAGTGTACAGCCCCAGATGCTCACAGTCGAGGGAGAGAGACAGTCTCCTAAAGTAGTGTCTCTGGCGCCGTGGTAGAGGCGCAGAGTGCATTAGAGTGGACTTAGGAAGCTGCAGAAAAATGAGGTGATACTGGAGGGTGAATCTGGCAGCAACCGTTGGAAGGTGTTTGGTAATTACCGTGTGCCGATTTCGTTCTGTTGGACGTAGGGTCGCTATGAGTCGGAACCGACTCGACGGCACCTGACAACAACAGTGTGCACATACAGTGGAAAACAAGAGACATAGTCCCTGCTCTCATAGGGTTTATAATCTAATGGGGAGGCACACATAAAGAGGCAATTATAGTACATTGTAGTTAGTGCAATGAAGAATAGCATAAGTGAAGTAAACACAGTAAAATAATAATAATTAACATTATTAAGCCTTTGCTAGACGCCAAGCAGGATGCTAATTACTTTATATGCATTAATTCATTGAATCCTCCCAGCAGTTCTATAAGGTGAAATATGAGTGGTCTCTCCATGACATAGATAAGGAAGCGGTCCCTGACAGTAAAGTGATTTGCCCAAGGTCACATAGCTAGTAAGTGGTAGAGCTGGAACATGAACCCAGGTCAGCTTGATTTTAAAATCCACGCTTTTAAACTACTTTAGTATAGGCAAAAGCGCAAAAGAGTAAGAAAAGTTAACAGAACCTTGTGTATTTAGGGAGCCAAGTGCTGTTTCATCTGACTCTAGTGTTGGTGGGAAGCAGCACTCCAGAGCCTGGAGAGGTACCTTGGGAAGTAACTTCCACAAAGCCAGAGTAAGCAGTTTGACTTTATGCTGTGAGAGGTGGAAGGTTTAAGGCAGAGGAGTGTCATGGCAGGTCTACACTGGGGGAAAAAGAGGGTAAGTCTAAAGATTACGTGCCAGGAATTACATACCACGCAGTGTTAAAGTGTTTTACATGCATTACCTCATTTAATCTTATTGCCTTATGGGAATGGCAACTATTATTTTCCTCAGATGAAGGAATTATTAGCTGTGTTTAGGAACTTTAGTAAAGTGACATTTACTATGAGGTAGGAGGAGGCGGGTGCTGCCATGGACCCGGTCATTCTCTTGTTTCTTGTCCCACCATGAAGCTGGGTTATCCTTGCGTTCAACCTTGTTGAAACAAACTTTATTTTGTTCAAACAGCTGAGGTTCAACTTCTTACAGGTATTCTGTATCAGGAATGAATTTGCCTATAAAGCTCACACAGCTGAATTGAGAAACAAATAGTTACATACGTAACTAAAATACAAGACACAGTGTGATTACTGAGTGCTATGAAAGAGGGACAGACATAGTTTAAGAATAGGATTTGAAGTTGGATCTAAATTCTAGACCTAATTGCTTGGTCATCTTGATTAGTTAACTTTATCCTTTACAGACGCAGTTGTTTTGTTTGTAAGATGAGATTATTTCAGCAGTAAAATTCTCTGAGGCTATAAAGGGAACACAGAAGGCTCGTTTTGTGCGTAATGTAAGACTTGGCTAATGACATTTGAAGAATGACATTTTGGGGCAGAGATGGAGAGAAGAGTTCTCTAAGTGGAGAGTAGGACCTGAGCAAAGGTAAGGAGATGTGAAAATGCAGGGGACCAAAAATAGGCTTTGGGAAGAGTGAGTTCAGTGTTTTCGGGGAACAACAAATAGTTCTGTGTGAAGTGTTGTGGCTAAGAAGGCTGGAAGGATAGTTTGGAATCCTGAAGGCTTTGAATACCAAGTAAAAAGTTTAGGCTTTTTTTTTTTCCTGCCATTAAGATGACTCCTTCGAGGGTTTTGTTGTGATTTATTTTAATAGCAGCGTAAAATAAGAATTGTATTTTAGAAAACTCACTCTAACAGCTCTGAAGAATGGATTGAAGAGAGGAAAAGACAATCAGCAAGACTAGTTTTGGTGGCTGTTGAATAGTTGAGGAAGAGATTATTGATCCCAGTGTAATTGGTAACTGTGCTTACAGAGAGAAAAGAACAAATATATCTGGAATTGATCAGATTGATGAATTAGCTGTTGGAGGCAGGAGAGGGAGAGGAGTCAATGTCAGATTTGCAACCTGATGATGATACAATTGGGGAAGTCAGAGGAGGAGCAGGTTTCGGGGCAAATTAAACACAGTTTGGACCTCACTGGACTTGGAGTTATGACATATCCCCATGGAACAAGTAGTCAGAAGCTTTGGGCTGGACACTCCTTGGGCAAATTGACAATTTTGAGTAAAAATAAAAATAGCTAATATTTATGTTGTACTGTGTGCTCGGTGAAGGAGCTCTGATGGCACAGTGGTTAAACGCTTGGCTGCTAACCGAAAGGTCAGTACTTTGAACCCACCAGCCACTCGGCAGGACAAAGAAGTGGCAGTCTGCTTCAATAAAGGATTACAAGATTTTTTTTTTTTTTTAATGTGTTAGGCACTTTTTAAAAATGTTAATTCATTTTATCCTCATAACGGTTCTATAAGGTAAGTACTATTAGCCCTCATTTTACATAAATTAAGTAAAATATAAAACCAAACCAAACCTGTTGCCGTCGAGTCAATTCTGACTCATAGTGACCCTAGAGGACAGAGTAGAACTGCCCTCTAGGGTTTCCAAGGAGCAACTAGTGTATTTGAAATGCTGACTTTTTAGTTAGCAGCCAAGCTCTTAACCACTGCGCCACCAGGGCTCCAAGTAAAATATAAGACAGTATAAATTAAGTACTATAATAAGTAGTGCAGTTATGGTTTAAGGAAGAGAGAACAGGACTGGAAGATTGATTGGTTGTAGATGGTAAGATTTTCTGTGCCTCACTTTTCACACCTGCAGACTCTATGTACTAAAACCTGCTGTGCAGCAAGGCTGTTGTGAGAATAAATGAGGAAGGATGTTGAAATTTTGTAGTTCTTTGAGACAAAGGAAGCTGAATGAATTTGAGAAGGTATTCACGGTAAGCAGCTGTGAAAGGGTGTTGTTGCTGTTGGAATTCCTCAGTCTTAGTGAAGAAGGGGATGAGGAGATACAGTGACATCTGAAGTTCTTTGCCATCTCAGTGATGGTGATGTCGTGGGAAGAGGCCTACATTGAAGGCCAGCATTTCTGGTTCCAGTTCTGGGGTTGCCACTGACTGCTTGGGCTTCTTTCTTTTTCATCAGTTAGGAAATAAACCTGATGAGTGGCCCTCATTCTTTATTTCCCTGGAATAGACATGGGTGGTGTTTTACATGCTCAATAATGTGGTTGTACCTAGATTTTGATAAGACCTCCAGATTTGTAGGGAAGTAAAGCAAATAATGCTGAAGGCTTTTTTTTTTGGCATGTTAGTCATGAAGACCTTTGAGTAAATAAATCATCAATATAAAGATATTTTAAGGTATTTGGCAAGGAAATTATTGTTAGTTGCCATTGAGTTGGCTCTGACTCACAGTGACCTCATGTACAACAAAACAAAATGTTGCTTGGTCCTGCGTCATCTTCACAATTGTTGGTATGCTCGAGTTTATTGTTGTGGCCACTGTGTATTTTGAGTGTCTTCCAACCTAGGGGACTCATCTTCCAGCACTATATCGGATAGTATTCTGCTGTGATCCATAAGGTTTTCATTGGCTAATTTTTGGAAGGAGATCGCCAGACCTTTTTTCCTAGTGTATCTTAGTCTGGAAGCTCTGCTGAAACCTGTTCATCATGGTGACCCTACTGGTATTTGAAATACTAGTGGCATAGCTTCTGCAACATAGCAACATGCAAGCTACCAGAGTACGACAAACTGGCAGACCGGTGGTGGGCAAGTGTTATGTATGGATTGAATTGTGTCCCCCAGAAATGTGTGTCAACTTGGGTAGGCCATGATTGCCAGTAGTGTGTGATTGTCTACTATTTTGTCATCTGATGTGACTTTCCTTTGACATTAATAAGGCAGGATTAGAGGCAGTTATGTTAATGAGGCAGGACTCAGTCTACAAGATTAGATTGTATCTTGAGTGAATCTCTTTTAAGATTTAAAAGACAGAAGTGAGCCGAGGGGGTGGGGGTGGGGGGCACCTCATACCACCAAGAAAGAAGTGCCAGGAGCACCGTGTCCTTTGGACCCAGGGTCCCTGCTCCCAGAAGCTCCAGGGGAAGATTGATGACAAGGACCTTCCCCCAGAGCCTACAGAGAGGGAAAGCCTTCCCCTGGAGCTGGCACCCTGAATTTGGACTTCTAGCCTCCTAAATTGTGAGAGAATAAATTTCTCTTTGTTAAAGCCATCCAGTTGTGATATTTCTGTTACAGCAACACTGTAACAAGCAAGGAAGTAAATATAGCTAATTTATTTATTTTTAGTTAAAAATTAAATCAAAAGATTGAGTCTTGATTTT